CCAACCACCCCGCAACCGCCCCCCCCCCCCCCCCTTCTATATGCTAAGGTTATAAACAGAGGTCTTAGTTGCACGTCTTCTGCAGAACAAAGGCTTTAGAGGTTTCCGGTTCCACATCTTATGAGGGAGCCACACTGCCTCGTCAAGGCCCCTCTGCATAGTGCCGTCCTAACTCTGACCTATGAGAGTAGGTGAAACGCACTAGACTTGTGCGCCGTCAGAAAATTCGTTTCATTTCGGAATATCCGTTATTTCGTAATTGGGTGTCTGAAACTCAATTCGGATTCGTACGAAATGCGAATTTTCCTTAGTTTCGTCACATTTTTGTAACTTTACGAACATTTGTTATGATGAAGTTAAAAAGCAAAAATACCTTTGTTAATATATTGGATGGTAGTTTTTTTTAAAATCCGAAATCCGAAATTCCATTAACGGATTTCGGATCTGAATTTCGTATTTCGGATAAAAAAAAAAAAACTACCATCGCCTCCAATATTAACAAAGGTATTTTTGCTTTTTAACTTCATCATAACAAATGTTCGTAACGGAACGAAAATACGTTAACGGAATTTCGTATTTCGGATAAAAAAAAAAAAACTACCATCGCCTCCAATATTAACAAAGGTATTTTTGCTTTTTAACTTCATCATAACAAATGTTCGTAACGGAACGAAAATACGTTAACGGAATTTCGTATTTCGGATATAATTCGGAAACTGCCATTCGGATTTCGGATGCTTCCGAATTTACGTATTTCAGGAAAATTCGTACGAATTTCGATTCGTAACGAAACAAATCGCACATGTCTAAAACGCACCTGTAGTAGGCCGAGTCCGAAGTGGATCTTCGGCTGAGGATAAGGCGAAGACGTGGTCAGGCAGGCAGGGTCGGCAACAGTCTGGCAGCGAGGTACAAAGTCAGGATCCAGGAGAGTATTATTATAATTCAGGATTTATATAACGCGAATAATTTGCTCAACGCTTTACAAAATGGAGGAGACAGCACAGTTACAATACAATACAGTTTCAGAACAATAGGGTTGGGAGGGCCCCTGCTCGTGAGAGCTTACAATCTAGTAGAAGGGGCCAGTGATACAAAAGGTAATAATTGTTTGGATTGAGTTATTGGAAGAAGTAAAAGACAGTTATGTTGAGGTGGGATGGGCTTCCCTGAAGAGATGGGTTTTTAAGGATCGCCTAAAGGTGGGCAGCGTAGGAGATAGGCGGACAGAAGGGGGTAAGGAGTTCCAGAGGATGGGGGACACTCTGGAGAAGTCCTAGAGGTGAGCATGGGAGGAGGTAATTAGAGAGCTAGAGAGCAGGAGGCCGGTTTGGGTGATATTTTGAGATGAGTTCAGTGGGGGCGGAGTTGTAGATGGCTTTGTATGTTGTCGGGAAGCGGGCAGAGGTCTTGACACGAACGGGCAGCAAGGTACAAAATCGGCAGGCAGAAGAATAGTCAGGAAACGGGCAAGAGTCACGGTGTAAATCCAGCATACCACACAGAGGTCGCTCACACAAAAACTAACCCTGCCGACCCCGCTATCTGGTTGCCATTCTCCATTGGGGGATGGGGGGTTGGCGTGCAGGGGGCGCACATTGAGCAACCCGGCCTTGCTGAGGCAGGGAGAGTAAATCCGGTCCTGACCACGACACCCAAAAACAGATGTAACCTGATTATCATTTCACATCAGGCTACACCAGTCCCGGCCGGACAAAACGGAGAGCTGATCAGTCTCAAATTGCGGACCTCAGCTGACCCTGTTGTTTTCTGATGTACACTGATGGTCGATAGTTTTCATCCGCACTGCCATAGAGATGCGTTGTTGTCTGTTTTTCAACTGCAAATGGAGGGTTTGGCAACTGTCAGAGCACAGTGAAAACCAGACAAGCGAAAGGTGCTAGTTAAAATATTTTTTAAGAACAGTGTCCACGGGAGCGGGCAAGATTCATAAACCGGAACAAGCCAGAGTCAGGAGCCGGAGTGGGTAGTCGTCCAAGCCAGTTCAGGAACACAGAGATCATCGTCGTCAGGAGCAAGCCAGGAAATCAGCATTATCAGGAACAAGCCAGGAGCAGGAGCCAGAGGAGACCGTCAGCCAGGATTAGGGTTGCCACCAGGATCGGGCCATACACAGAATCAGGCTACTCAGAGCCGCAGGAATGCGCTAGCAGGAAGACCGGGCAAGGTCAGACTGGACTGAGTGGTTTATATATAGTGAATGGGGTGACATCATCACTCAGAGACAGGAAACTCCCATCTGGCTCTCTCAGGTGATGTTCTCCTGTCTGGCCATAAGAGGGAGCCCGGGAGTAGTGAGCAACGTTCCAGAGTCTGCTCAAGCAAGGAAGGAATCACAGGTGGGTGGAATGGCTGCCAAGCCAGAATGCTGCAAACCAGCAAAGTCAGGGTGGAACCCTGACAGAAAGCTGACAACCTGAATTGGAATCCCAATCTACTGCACGCTGATACTTTCCACAGCCATTTGTAGCAAGCGATATTAAAGCCTCTTTAGGAAAGTATGTGTTGCACAATACCCCATGTACCCGCATTCTTGATGTTCCCTTTGTCTTTGCAGCCTCTCTTGCAACAAAATCTGTGCCTCTGATATTCTCGCCTATAGGGTGGCCACACTTCCATACAGAGTCACCTGTGAGCCACCCTAACATGTATGCTCCCAGCCAGACCTGTGAAGGTTTTGGGAGGAGGACCAGCTGAAGCTTGAACATTATGGGCTGGGCCTCAAGGATGCACTAGGCCACCTGATAGTATTAGAGCGGGCACACATGTGCATTATGGGCTGGGCCTCATGGATGCACTAGGCCACCTGATAGTATTAGAGCGGGCACACATGTGCATTATGGGCTGGGCCTCAAGGATGTATTAGGCCACCTTATAGTATTAGAGCGGGCACACATGTGCATTATGGGCAGGACATGAGAAATCATGGCACATGTAGTCCCAAAAGCAGAAAGTCAACCTTAGGCAATAGTGAGTCCTCCCCAATTTAGAAGTTCCGGGA